AAAAACTTGGAGATAGGATGCAGTCCCAGTCCAAACATACTATTTTCCTCACTTTTAGCTCGAAAACGATAGTCCTGGTCGACAAACTCTCTCAAAAATTTAGTAATGCATTGAATTGAACAGTGGCCAGGTGATTTATCATGACAAATATACAAACTAGACAGAAGATTTAGACAAAATATACTTGTTCTTTTCCTCAACAGTGTCTTGTGTCAACGCAGAGAAAAACGTGGCGATAGGATGCAGTCCCAGTCCAAACATACTATTTTCCTCACTTTTTGACCGAAAACGATAGTTCTTGACAACAAACTATCTCAAAAATTGAGTAATGCATTAAATTGAACGGTGGTCAGGTGATTTATCCTGAAAAATAGACAAACTAGACAGAAGATTTAGACAAAATATTGTTTTTCTTTCCCTTAACAGTGTCTTGTGTCAACGCAGAGAAAAACTTGGAGATAGGATGCAGTCCCAGTCCAAACATACTATTTTTCTCACTTTTTGCTCGAAAAAACGATAGTCCTGGCCGACAAACTATCTCAAAAATTAAGTAACGCATTAAATTGAACAGTGGCCAGGTGATTTATCATGAAAAATAGACAAATTAGGCCTATATCATTGGTTTTTAAAACTCTACGCTTGCAGTACTGACATGCGTGAAATGTTTTGGTTAAATATGTTTTATTTTGTGTAATGCTCTGCAACTAGTTCGAGAATAATACCATAGTCAGTGATAACTCTGTGTTAAGTTTCATATAAACTGTTAAACGAAGTTGAAAAATCTAAATTTCAAATGCTTTTCAGGAAACACTGTGTTATTTCCAAACTTGTCTCTCCTATAGTTTTCAATTCTTGGTCCAATCATGGAGGAATATTCATAAAAAAAGAATATTTATATTTTTAATTATATTTGATTCTGAAAACAACAGTTCAATTTTTCTAACATAAGTTCAGTCAATTTATGTCTCGGGAATGTAAAAAAAAAAAAAGGGAAGAAAATTAAGTAACAATAAAATAATGGTGGGACTCGAACCTGAGTCGCCTGATCGGGAGTCATATGCCAGTCCACAAGACGAGTCCACGAGCTCAATGCTCGACTAGTTCTGCTTAAATATAACTGTAAGATAGGCTTATCGTGGCTTTTCACATTGCGCCCATGCACGCTTAGACGTAAAACACAGTCTGACGATGTAAAACATTCGTTTGATTTTGGGTGTAGCTGTTCAAGTTGATCTAAATTTATTTGGAAAAGGGTGTAGGGTGTCAACTGAACTAAACTCCTGAAATTCAATGAAATAAAACTCGTACAATCTTTGGTTTCAGTACGAAACACACGTGTTCAACGGATGCAGAGAAGCCCATTTCTTTTGTTAAATTCCTTTGTTGAATCTGGCGTTAACAATAAAATGTTTCCATTGAAGCGAAAGGATTAAACGCCGCGATCTTTTTTCACGCTTGAGTGCATCTGAATGGGGAATATTGAAGCGGAAAATCACGAATTACAGCACTTAGGCAGCATTTTATCCTACATAATGATACTTTTTGAAGAGGAAATTGCATACTGAATACAACTATAGTTTCAAAATTCAAAAATTCGCCGTATTTAAAGAGTCGAGGTAATTTTTTAGGAAAAATTTCACCAAAACTTTCCTCATCTTAACGTAGGCGGCGCTATATATATTCATTCCCGCACGTGCACCGTATCCAGAGTTGGCTAGCGCATTAGCGTGTGTGTGTTATGGCATTGCAAGGGGATGGGGGCGGGGCTGGCTTCCTTTTTTGAATACATATACAGTTTATAGCCCTTTTATTTAAAAAACATGTCTCCACTTACGACTTCAAGTTTAATAAATATATTTCGCTTGTTCCCCCCCCCCCATCTCACACGACAAAAAAAATCCCGCCTCCCTCTTGCTCATGTGTATACCGGAGCCCTTTAATTAATATCCTGATACGCGTCACTTTTGTTCCATTAAAGTTGACTTTTATTCGGATTGCATTTTTTCACTGACCTTAATTATGTATTATTTAAGTTTTAGACCTATTCAACTTTTATTCGTGAGATAAATTGAAATTGTGATGCTAAAATGAGATTGGGTAAACAGGTGATACACAGATCGGGCGGCGGCTATCGCGCGCACTGAAAAGGAAATATATATATAGCGCCGCCTACGTTAGGATGAGGAAAGTTTTGGTGAAATTTTTCCAAAAAAATTTCCTGGACTTTTTAAATACCGCGAATTTTTGAATTTTGAAACTATAGATGTATTCAGTATGCAATTTCCTCTTCAAAAAGTATCATTATGTGGGATAAAATGCTGCCTAAGTGCTGTAAATCGTGATTTTCCGCTTCAATATTCCCCATTCAGATGCACTCAAGCGTGAAAAAAGATCGCGGCGTTTAATCCTTTTCCCTCAATGGAAACATTTTATTGTTAACGCCAGATTCAACAAAGGAATTTAACAAAAGAAATAGGCTTCTCTGCATCCGTTGAACACGTGTGTTTCGTACTGAAACCAAGGATTGTACGAGTTTTATTTCATTGAATTTCAGGAGTTTAGTTCAGTTGACACCCTTTACCATTTTCCAATTACATTTAGATCAATTAGAACAGCTACACCCAAAATCAAACGAATGTTTTACATCGTCAGACTGTGTTTTACGTCTAAGCGTGCACGGGCGTCAACGTGAAAAGCCACGATAAGCCTATCTTACAATTGTAATTAAGCAGAACTAGTATAACATTTGAGTGCCTTAATGGTCTTGTGGACCGGTGTAGGAGATCTCAATCAGGCGACTCAGGTTCGAGTCCCACCATAATTATATTATTATTTTTTTTCTTACCTTCCCAACTTTTTATAGCTCCATGCCCAAACATAAATCTACTGAACTTATCTTTTAAATAAACTGAAGTTTTGTTTTCAGAATCCCAAACAAACTTCCAAGAAAACAAACAAAACAATAACAAACAGGTATTTTTTTTCACTTTCATTTATTGTGTTGATTTAATATCCCTTTATTCAAAGAACTATGCACAGCATTCCAACAATATTTTAAGTACACATTTACTTTTAAAATTGACCTACACAATATTTACACTGCAAGATAAGATTTATCGGACTTAAAGGGCATGTACTTAAAGGGCATGTACAACATTTGCTTTCGCTGCAATTTTCAGAAATAAATGGATTTGGAGGATTAGTATGTTTTAGCAAATATTGTTAAAATGACTTTTTTCACGTTTGGGCTTGTAGAAGCTGGAAAAGCCAAGAAAACCAGTCATGTATTTGCAGTCTGGTGACCCCACTTATAAGGTAAAACGGAGCAATTAATAGACTTTGGGGAATCAAAAGGTCAGAGAATCAGTCTAGCAGACTTAAACCTCTTCACAGGTGTGTAATCAATTGCAAAGAAAATGCGGAATAACTAATTATAAAAAAATTGGGAGCAATTTTTGAAAAATAGCCAGTTTTCTCCAATGCTGGTCGGCTGACCAGCGTTGGAAAAGTAACATTTTTCTTAAAAATGTCAGCACATCAGGAGCCACAATTTTACAGGATGCTTTAGACTTTCATTCCCCAACAATCCAGTAAGGTATTTCGTGATAATTTGATCATTTCGTTTTGTGATGTTTGCAAATGTTGTATCTTCCCTTTAAAGAAAGGCAGTAAACATTTAATGTTTTTACAGATGAAATAAAGAAATGAAGTCAGACTATCACACAATATTGGCAAAGAATGTTGCAACCTGACGCCACTTCAGCGGCGTTAAGTATGGAGCGTCAAGAAAATGTTCTCTTAAGTATTTCTCAGTCCCAGATTCATGTCTATTATCATCATTTTTGCAATGAATGACTTCATTGACACGATATGAAGAAAAAGCAGCATCAGGTTACAACATTCTTTCCCAATATTGTACATGAAAAAAATATAGTATTTACAATGTGATAGATTGCCTTTGAGAAAGATTCTGTTGGATTGAAATTTCTGAAACTGACATGGGACATGGATGACAAGATTGACTTTCAAGGATTTGTGTGGACTCGGGACTTGAATACAATCTGGGCCCAATTTTATGGCGTTGCTTAACAGTTACCAGAAAAGCTGTGCTCATTACTACAGCAGAACATTGTACCATCCTTATTAAGCACTCATGGCGTGGATGTGCTAACGGTTCAGCACGCATTGAGATCTACATGTACATTGTCACGTCAAAAGCTAAGCAAATTGTTCCTCTGAGGTATTTTAGCATGCCTTTTGCTGTGTTTACTGCTTACGGTAAGTTACATTGTTCCTCTGAGGTATTAGCGTGCCTTTTGCTGTGTTTACTGCTTACGATCTCCATAATATAGACAGAGAGGCTCTGCTGGCAGAAATTGTGTGCTTAGCAGCGCTATGAAATTGGGCCCTGTTCAAATCACTTATTTTCAATTTGTTTCATGCCTTCTGGACCTTACACCCAAATTGCTTGACAAACGTGCTCTGAAAACTTGTACATGTATATTTATATCAATATAAACCATTATTTAGTATAATTAAATTACGTACAGATGACTACCCCCCTCCTTGAATAACCATTCCTGGCCCATTCTCATGCCGTTGGGTTGTCTCTAAACAGGCCCAAGAAACTTCAAGAAAACAAACTTGCAGAGTTGTCCTACATTTGCAACATTTGTGACGTGAACATTCACAATTATGATGAATATTTCAATGCTGCCTGACGGACTGTCCGACTGAGTCACTGAGTATCAACTGATCTAGGCAGTCACTATTGTCACTGACTGACCGAGTCACTGACCGAGTCACTGACCGAATCACTGACTGCGGGATGAGACACTGACCGAGTCACCGGGTCACTGCACGACTGAGTCACTGAGTCGCTCAATGAGGCACTGACCGAGTCACTGACCGAATCACTGACTGCGGGATGAGACACTGACCGAGTCACCGAGTCACTGCGTGACTGAGTCACTGAGTCACTCAATGAGGCACTGACCGAGTCACTGACCGAATCACTGACTGCGGGATGAGACACTGACCGAGTCACCGAGTCACTGCATGACTGAGTCACTGAGTCGCTCAATGAGGCACTGACGGAGTCACTGACCAAGTCACTGAGTTGACGACAGCCACCACGTTGCTCAATGAGTCACTGAGTGATTCACTAACGAAGACATTGACCGAATCACTGACGAGTCACTGACGAGTCACTGACTGAATCTGACTGAATCACTGAGTCGCTGATCGAGTCACTGAGTTGTTGACTGAGTCACTGACCGAGTCACACAGTCCAGCTTAACCAGGCAAGCCTACTTTGTTTATGCCATGAGAGACTTAAGCCTCTCTCCAGAACTGTTGTTTTCTCCTGCATAACCATCTTGCCAAAGCTAAATAGAGAAATATTTCAAGGCAAATTTCCCAATGTGAAGAACAAATACTTTGGAAAATCCCTTTGCGAAGCAGGACATTTGGGATGTACAAATCTAAACAATCTCAAGACTAGGATAGGGACCACCTCAGGAAACTGGTACCCTGTTGTCCTTGGCCCACTTCTTCATGACACGGATGATGTATTCCACCTGCGGGTTACCGGTGTTGCGCAAGATTTGGAGGATGTCTCGCAGAGTGTTTCTCTGTAGAGGAAAAAAAATGACAAAAATCTAGTGGCTTGAACTTCACAGGGTTTTGTGCACATAAAAATGAAAGCTATTAACAAGATGGACTTTGCGTCGGGATGATGCATTTCAATATTAAGATTTGCCCTTCATCGACGTATAAACACTGTATACTTAGTGTGTTACCTCCCGAGTGAAAGTTGGAGAAAAAAATCACTCGGGTGGGATTTGAACCCATGACTCGACCACCGAGTTTACGAGATTGGTGGTCCAGTGGTAAGATGTCTGCACTAGAAAGCAGGAGGTCATGGGTTCGAGTCCCAACCGAGTGATTTTTTTCCAACTTTCACTCGGGAGGTAACGCACTGAGTAAACAGTGTTTATAAGTCGGTGAAGGGCAAAACCTAATAGTGAAAATGAAAGCTGTTCATAGAATATGGGGACAAAGGAAAAATCCATAAAGATCAATGAATTTGAACTAAAGGGGTAAGAAGTTGAAAAGTATTCATGAAAATTTGTAATAAAAAGCCATATCCTCTCTGAGTGATCCCCGTTTTATATTTCCCAGGTCTGCATCGTGACTTTGGGCGTGATCCCTGGCTGCATGGCATATGCGGGTTGAGGGCTTCTGACTAGCACCCCTTTGACAGAGACATTGACAATTAGGGAACCGCCAACATTGGGCTGGATAGCTCAGTTGGTAGAGCACCGGAGTGATATACTAATTGAGATGTAATTGGTCAGTACGCACTGTTTGATTGATGAACTGTAGTCACCTGACTGTCACCTGACCAAAGGTTGAGATCTGATTGGTCAGTGTGCACTGTTTGATTGATGTACTGTAGTCACCTGACCAGAATTTGAGATTTGAGATCTAATTGGTCAGTGTGCACTGCTGATTGACAGAGATGACACCCACCTTGGTTCATGACCAGCAATGATCTGCTGGAATACGCCCACGCACGCCCCTCGCTTGCCTTCCCAGTATTCAGGATTGGGGTCCAATCTTTCCAGGACATCGAAAGCATAGTAGAACTGGCCCATCTACCGACAGAAAAGTTGGAATATGAAAATTGAGAGGAGACCTTGACAATTCCAATTTGAGGTCGAGCAAAAAAACCAGAAGTTTGAATGAAAAGCCTGAATTTTTCGATCATATCCCACCGTGTTGAAATTGTCCAAAAATCAATATTTTAAGCAGTTTGGGATTTTTGGCTATTCTAGTATTTTATGATGCCCTCTACATGCTTACCAAAGTTGGGACACAAAAGTGCATCCTTCATTATTCAAGCTAATGACACAAAGTGGTAAATGTGCAATGAATCATTTTTTCTTTTTTTGACAGGGATTCGTATTCTCGTTGATTTTACACGTGGGAAACAATGTTGCAACCTGACGCCACTTTTGTCTTCACACATCATCTCAATAAAGATCAGTCATTGCAAAAATGTTTCACAAACATGAATCTGGGACTGAGAAACACTTCCAATTTGGTTCAGAAATACTTGGAAAGTTTTCTTGACTCTCCATAGACTTTGTACACAACCGCTGAAGTAGCGTCTGGATACTGCATTCTTTTCTACACATGCGTTATATTTAGATTTATGTCTCCTCTACCATTTGCGTTTGGACGAAGTGACCAATCTGTTTTGTGAAATCGGCTGCAGGTTGAGATTGAGTGACTGGATACTAATTTGGGGCTAATGCCAAAATCTTGACCAAACATCCAACGGACTAAAATAGGGGATGATGATTTACCTTGTAGCCGTCGTTGGCAATGAGCTGCAGCAGGCTGAACGATTCACCAGACGTCTCCATCTTAAGGTACAACTCCCAGGCTAGTCTGGCCTTACGATTCATGATGTCTGAACAACGAAAACAACACAAAGAAAGGTTATAAATACATAGGATACTGCTGTAAGAAAACACATTGGGTCCACAAAAGATGGTTCGGTTCAGTGGATGCTCATTTCAGCAATTTTCGGCCAGCAATGCTCAGTGTAACTGTGTACAATATTTGGGAGCCAAGAGGGATGTTCAATGTAGCAAATTTCTGTAGTACAATCTGCTTGAAATGTGATAGAACAAATCCAACATGGCAAATATAGGATTAAGATGTGACGTTTACACGTATGAAACAAAAAAACTTTTTACTCCGTTTACTAATTTTTCAAAACATTTAAACAAAACCCGAATTATATAAAAGGGATCTCCGTTCACCCGATCTTCCTTTGAGAAAACCACACATATATGTAGCACAAATAATTAACGTTGTTTTCAAACCTACTTAATTTACAAAACCTTAGAAGCACCTCATAATTGATTACATTTGGGGAACAGGTAGAACATGTTTACTTTATCAACGACTGCCCGCTATTTACTATGTCAACCATTGTTGATTTATCATGTCAATCACGCCGCTCTGCAGATCAGACAAAATGGGTATGCAAAAACCACTGTCAATGGCTAAATGTTTAAAACAGTTCGTAAAATATTTGCTCAAGGTTTACAAAATAAAACGCCAAGTCACATCCTTAATATATGATCAGGGCAAGTGCATGCTGGTTATGTCATTGTTAGAGACACGTCAGTCTACCTCACACATGGGCAACATGTGCATCTCCCTAATGCCACTCTGGATTTTCCAGCAGTACATGAAATGCATGCACGCGACGTGTCGTGACTTTAGTTGGACATTTGCTTGTGCAGTCACAGTTGTGAGTGCATGGTCAATACATTATGAGTTGAGGCTTAACAGGTAGATTCGTTCCCATAATTAGCAACTTTGAAGTTGGAAGAAGAAACGTCATTAACAACTGACGGTAATACTCACAGCATCTTGCCAACCAGAGACACGTGTAGTCATTCTTGATCTTCTCACTCTGAATGAGCATAAAAATCGGGAAAACAAGAGAAACGATTAACCCACTCCAATTAATTCATGGTAAAACCAAGTGTTCCCCACCAAAAAAGTGGTCTAGGAGGCACAGAAAGATCCCCATCCGGGTTTTAGACTTGTTTTTTTTTATGCCTATTCGCCCTGAACAAGGCTACAAGCCACTCCAGATATACAGGGCTACACGTCGGCGCAAAGCAGCTAAATCAACCACACCATCTCTGCCCTCACAGGTACCCACTTATAAGCCATCAGTGTGGGGGTTTGGTCAGTATCAAATGAGGGGAATAATGCTCATTGTGATGTTTGGCAAGGTATGCACCCCTCTAGTCAAAAAATATGCGACAGCATTGCAGCGGTGACAGCTTTTTGGGCGCTGTCCCTTGTTTTCTTTTTTAAAATGGAGGCCAAAACATGCTTGTAATTACCACATATAATTTATTTGGTTCAAGCATATTGACGTACAGCCATTTTGAATGAAAACACAAATCAAAAGTGATAACACCCAAAAAACTGCCACCACTCACACTGCAAAGCTATCACACATTCTCCAACTCTAGATATGCCTTTCAAAAAATCGCTATGAGCTTTGCTCTTTTCAATCGTCTGGTACCGGTGGCCCAAGATTTGGACCAAAGCTGATAGCCTATTACTCCTGGGTGGGGACAAGCAATGAGTAACAAAGTGCTTTTCCCAGGGGCACACGCACCACAACCCCAGGCTGGACTCGAACCCACAACCTGCAGCTTTACCCGCAGACCACGAATCCAACGCCCTTAACCACGAGGCCACAGCACTCCACACTCCTCTTGAAGCAGGACAGATCATAGGTTGGAGGGAAATAAGCACCAAGCAAGGAATTCCAAAGAGATGCAGCACGTGGGAAAAAAAGCTATTGCAATATATCTTTTTGTTCTACATCTAGGTATACGGCAACAGTAGATGGATGGGAACAGACAGAAAGTCAAGCTTCTCTCTCAAACAGGGCTGACCATCGGTGGAAATTGATACAAAATCCCACTTTTCTTGAAAATGACAGCACACCAGGTGCCGTTATTTCACAGGATGCTTGAGACTATTATTCACTAACAGTCAAGATAATTCATAATAACTTGGCAGTTTTGGTTTTTGATGTTTGCAAATGAAAGGCGCCATGACTAGTTCCTGATTGGTCGATCCATGGCAACAATGTGGTATTATTAGTTATCCCGCGAGTGCGAGTGGAACACGGAATAATGCAGTGTGTCTGTGTCCCACATTCGGCTGAGTGGTATGTGGGACACAGATGCACTGCATTTTTTGTGTTCCACAAGCGTGAGCGCGATAACAAATTTATCTTTCAGCAAACTTGAGGCACAGTAAGATGAAACACACATGCCGCTGTTCATGTTCGTATGGAATGGCGCGCGCATCTTAGAATAGTGCAATATGCGGAGTGCAGTATGGACTGTGGCCGTGCTACATTGTTATATGTAGCACGGCTTGTTGCCATGGATTCACCAATCAGGATCGAGGATTCAAGTTTATTTGAAGATAATATCTCATATACCAAGGTCCATATCACACTCTGCCTATCATATGGCCCCAACCATCGCTGAGAACAGACAGTTATCTAAAATACTACATCCACTTAACAGCTGCCAGTTGGCTTTTGACTTCATGCATATGCTTGGGTACACTACATATATCTGTGCATTACTTTCCCCTGACAGAGCTGGCACTCAGGCACTCCCTGTGACCTATGGGTTCTATGCATGACAGATTCTACAAACTGCACTTTGAGGGTTGAAAAAGAACAGCTTTTTTTGGTGGTTTTTCAGCATGGAGACACAATACATTGAACAGCTCAGTGGAACGATGTCAGCTATAAATTATTAGCCCTTAAATTTGGTCCAGTTCATGAAATGATGGCAAATGATCCTATATGCCTTGAACTCAGCTTACTTTCCCGGCTGGTCCTATCTGATTTTGGCGAGCGCTGTGGCTCGTCTGTCGGTGTTCTGGAAGATGGCCCGTATCAGGCTCTTCACGTCACTGGCGCTGAACACCATAGCGAGTGGTCCCTGGAGTGACGGAGAGAATCACAGTCTCAAATGTTTAAAGAGCAACTAGACAAGAAGAGGAGTTCCCAACATAAACAATGTTTTTAATTTTAAAGTTGAGCAAAGAAATTGACTGGAGCAGGGGTTGAACCTGTGACCTTCGGATTGCCGTTCCGGTGCTAATACCAAGTGCCCCCCCTTGCCCCCCCCCCCCTCGTGACGCCCATGCACTTCTAGTTGTTTGAAAAGTGGATTTGTGGGCAATTTATGAGCAAATGAAGCATAAGCTTGCAATGGTAATCACGTATCGTTCAAGCAATGCATTATCGGTCGTGTCCATCCTCTGCAACAATATATACAGAGATCATACACTTTTCTAAGCTATGGAGTAGTCTGCTACACACCTAACAAAAACCACAGTGATTCATTTTTTTAATGTGAACTAATGCACCTCTCAACGGTAATGTGTGGTTTGCATTCAACAGAATGTGCTTGTTACAAAAAAAACAAAACAACATTTGTGTTTATGTTTGGTATGCACAAAGCAACACACTGTGCATTAATCAACACATGATATACATCACTTCGTGGGCCACCTAACATCTTATCAACAAATTCTGCAACAACAAACAAATTAGATTCAGGAATTGCTTTCTTACCTCATCTTCTCCTGGTTTGATCAAGTGTGGAATTCTGTCTTGCAGTCCCGAGAGTAACGAATGTAACTGCTGCGCATCATCAGCTGAGATGTCCTGTCAAGTTGAGCAACCAAAAAAAATGTTCTAACCAATTAGTGGCAGTATTCCACAAGGACATCACAGACGAAACAAGTGTGAGTGCACAATAAGCTCTGGTCACCTAACATGAAATGATTGTGCATAAAAACAAGCCCAGGCAGCCATCTCACGTGAAAATCACGAGCTGAAAATTGACCAAAATAAGCCCCCTAAGTTTCCCATCAAAATAGCGGGCTACACACTACGTGACTATTAACATTATTAAGCATTATCTTGCCTCCATTTTACAAAATTTTCATAAACAACTTTACAAAATGTTACAAACAATTTTTGTTAACTATATCACTGTTTTTGTTTGCGAAAATGTTGTAGTTACATTATATTGGAAACTTAGGGAGCTAGCATTTGCTCAATTTTCCGAGGACAGACATATGCAAAATAGATGCGCATATGCATCGATCGAGACAAACCTCGTTTTCCGATAACTTTCGTCAAGAGTGCATTTACTGACAACGGCATGGTATTTTGTCAATTTTTGGTCAACGCTTTTTGGTCAATTTTTGGGGACAGACAGACAGACCGACCAACTGACCACCAAGTGACATGTAGAAGCTCCTGCCACAGCTTAAAAATAGTCCCTCAAACATGCTGAGTTAGGAATTTGTTGGCAGCCTATGCACTCCATGCACAAGTACCACCTCCACACTTTCAAAAGGAGAGTTCAGGGAGACCACTGGGAGGGACAATCTAATGCATTGCCAACGGCGCCTGACGCCCATGCCAAGACGCCAGAGGTTTGTACAGAATTCAATCAGTTGTGTGTTCTTGACGACATACCTGCATGAAACAGTCAAATACTTGAGGGATCTTCTCACCTCAAGTGACGAGACTTTCTCCACGATGTGCATGAGTACCGTGTTGATGAGTGTAGACATGGCCTTGGTGTAGATGTTACTGGGGAGGATGTCGGTCCAGACTCGCTGGAGGTGACCCAACTGATGGACAACCTGCAATGGGATAAAGACAGGGATGAGATTGCCTCTGAAAGATGCATTCCTTTCGAGACCGGTAATGTCTTTCTCTCAGATTCAAAAGGTCTGATTTCAGACAAAATCGTGCCTGTTAAAGGCTTAATATACAACATTTGCTTTTGCTGTAATTTTCAGAAATGCAAAATGGAGGATTTCTTTAAAGGATATGGCCAGATTCCTAGCCCAAAAGGCAGAGGTGAAACTTTACTTTGACTTCATTTTTATCAACAAAATTGAATATTTGAATATTCTTATGTGGAAATCCAAGTCCGAGATAAGGCCGAGTAAAAAAAACAAAAATAGTTTATCGTCCGAGCCCTTTGAAAAAAAATCAAGGAGGCGGGCACCCCCCCCCCCCCCCAAGATGGTTGATTTTCCAAGATGATGAATTGATCGATGCATTTTCTCGACTCTTTTGCTGATACAAAATTGTGTCTGAAGGAGCTGTCACCCCTTCTACAAAGGTACAATTTCATTAGAAACAAATACATTGACAATACATTTGTAAATTATTTTGTAAATATATGAATAAAAACAACACAACAAAGGAAGCGAGCAGGAAAAACCCAAGTGGGCCATGGCAAGAAACTGGTTTATTTTTCACTTGGCCTAAAATTTTTGATTGTTGCCGAACCTACTTGTTTAATGGCCCTCTCACATGCCAAGAAGTTGTCGTCAGTCGCTACTTGGTCAAAGCCCTCAGCACCAGACAGACTCTCCACTAATTGATCTCGCTGAATTCTCTGCAACATAGAAGCAGTAACAATAACACGATCAGGAAGGTTATTTTGCTTGAATGTGCACATTTGACATCACATAACATTCAAAGCCAAATTCGCTGCAGGTGACTTGATCTGCAACTCCTGCGGTCTGCAGCAAGAATACCTGCTGTGATGTCAAAACTTAGGATTGGCGAATCCAAGAAAGATACACTGGCCTTAACCCTCACCCTCCAGGGTAGTCAGGCTAGAAACCCTGCTAAATGCAGCAATGTGTAACACTTGTCAAAATGACATGTCTGCTCTTTCAGCAAGATCTATCAGGTCAAAAATCTCCAGTCAAAACTGCCTCCGAGTCTGTGGTCACTGAATGCAGCAGGATACAACTGTGGCATTTTTCAATGAGACTAGCTTCGATTGTTTTAGAATTGGCCGTCTATGCAATGGTGTTGGTGGCTCAGTGCAGCAAGGTCCCACAGAGGATTACACCTGATGTACAGTGTTAGGGTTAACAAGCGGCTAAGTTCTACATCAATAATTAAACAAGCTCGATCGGATCTTGGAGGCTGCGGGCCAACAAATGCATGTGCAACTTATTTTGACCTTTTACCCCATAGCTGTAGGTCAGATGAAGAGGACACCAGGGACATTTTTTAATGTTTGACCCACAACCAACATGTTGACAGCGCTACTTTTGTCATTTGAGCTTATTTGGAATTTGACAATATCTTAACCTTGAACCCATGATGACCTTTAACCCCAGTTTGGTCATGTGACATGGTGGGGCTGGGCTACTGATACTTTTGACAAAGTTGGGTTAAAATCTGTCCAAGTATGTAGGAGCAACAGACAATGTCAACGTTTGGTACTAACTAACAAACGAACAAACTAACTAGCGAACGGACTAACGGAGAGACATGATGATTTGTTGAGCTGCTAGCCGTTGCTAAAAACTCAGTGCTGAAGATTAGTCCGACTGAAATATTGGGAGGTACAGTAGAAACCCAACATGTGTTGACTGGGTACAAATGAGAAAAAATAGGCTGCTATTTTTTTTACCATTTGAGCCAAGAAACATTCGGATGCCAGCTTCCTGAAGACAGAAATTAGGTCGACAAACGTGGACGTGCCGTCACAGAGGGGCGGGGGTAAAGATTGACGATACTGATGGCCCAGCGTCAGCAGGTGATGGGCGATGTACATGCAGTTGTTGTGGTGGAGAGCGCACACCTGGGGTAGCTTTTGCTGTTTCACAGGAAAAATGAGAAAAAATAATGCAGAAGTCAAGATTTCTGTAAAGCAATTGTAAGACAATATCAATATTACTTTGGTTGTTGATTTCATCCTTGCTTTAACAAGTTCAAGTTGAGATTATTTTGACAAGAACGGAAGGAAGAGCGGGATATATTTTCACTCGACCTCAAGCCAGGCGGGTTGAAGCCATCACCCACGGGCAGCACACTCATATTTCCAGCCTCGCTTGCTGCAAGCGGGTCGCTGACAGATATTTCCGGCCTTGCTCCCTGTGTGTTTATCTGTCATCTTTGCGTGTATACATGGCGTCCGGCATGAACTGGTTTAAGGAACATGGGAATATTTGCCTTTGGTGGAATTTTTTTTTTGGGGGGGGGGCTCAATATTGCTCAAAATCTTAAGAAGGGTGCATAACAACTAACTTGTTGACATTTCAGCTCAGTGGTTACTATACATTTTGAGAAAACAGAGAAAATGTTTGCACAATTTTAGGGGTCTCATAACTGGATTTCATTGCTAACACATGAAAAATATGTGCCAGCGGGCACACTTTCTAATAGCACCTTCACTGATTATTTTCTTCTGAATGATACCAGGCAGAATAGTTACAATCATAAGTTATTTGGTACCGGTCCTATCGTCACTTTGAGCTAGAATTTTCTCGTTAAATCGATAGGTATCGATAGGAAACCATAGATAAATGGTGGCCTGATGGGCCATATTGGCTCACGACAGACTTTACTTTACTATAAACACATCACATCATGCAGTTGACATGGGTGGCGCAGTGCGTGAAGCACTTGCCTCTCACCGCTGTGGCCTGGTTTCGATTCCCGGATCGGGTAATATGTGAGTAGAGTTGCTCATTAATTCTCTCCTGTGCCACGAGGGTCATACGACGGCTGCTTGAGGCGCTTGTACATAACATGCCTTCGGCTCAACCACGTTGTAGCCGTGTCCTTTACAATTCAGCTTCTGCTGCGAGTAAGGATGATTAGCCCCCCAAATTAATCTATGTCCAACTCACCATTGTGGTGTATTACTAGCAGCTTCTTGTAATGTCTGGTAGGCTAGATTAACAAGACACTCTATGCTTTCACTGACTGCACACTCAGGTAGTGCAAAGATACCCTCGCTGACGTGGCACTTGTCCTGAAAGAAGTAAGAAAGTATGCATTGCAAGTGTCCTCAAGTGAAATTGAATATTTAATATAGGTTCATTCAACACATTTCAACAATAAATATTTCAATTAATGTTTTAAACTTGCAAGAACTCTTAACTCTTTCGCTACGGAATTTAATTTACCTTTTTCGTCCCAACTGGACATAATTCAAAGCTGAAAATTCCGCCGAGCGTCGATGTGGGCGCCGCCATCTTTGAATGTATCTCCGTAAACAAACTGCTCACAATAACAAAAAGTGCACCCCAGCCAGACGGAGAGCCGCTGGCAGCGGCTCGAACTAGGGTCAGAGGTTATACGATATAAATTATGTAGATATGGCCCACGTCATGGGGACATCCTGTTTATTCACAGCGGCGCAACCGAGCCGCTGCCAGCGGCTCTCCGTACGACCTGTACAATTTGTATGAGCCGCCGTGAGCGGCTCGCCGTAGCGAAAGAGTTAAAGGCTGATTAGAATGACAAAATCAAATCCAGTTTAGTCTTGAAGCACACAATTTCCAACAAATTCTACCCTTGGCATCTTGTTTTTGATCTTTGACGTTCTTGTTGTCAACCTTCATTGTACCGACTCTCTTTGTATTGTGCAGCTCTCTCTTCATCAGCTTGCGGGCTTCAACTATCAGCTCTTGACACTTGCAAAAAGGAAATAAACCAAACATAAACAATGTCAGGGATGTAGTCAAGTACATCACAAGTCCAGTCACAAGTCCAGTCACATGTAAATCACAAGTCCAGTCACAAGTAAATCACAAGTCCAGTCACAAGTCCATCACAAGTCCAGTCACAAGTCCAAACAAACTGAATGTTGCTATTAAAGAAATGTTGCCACAACATATTGAGAAGTACCTTAAAAAAAATAATTCACCTTTTTGTTAGCAAAGTGGACATCGACATCTCTGGCGTAGGTCAGCAGTGGAGAAGCAGTTTCTGCAATAAACCCTGAATAAGAGAAATTCTCTGCTATTTCAAATATTCAGCTTCAAGGCAGTGTTTTATGTTATTATTTATATGAGGCTTCCAGCGGTCAAAAATAAATCAGCGTATTGTATGCTTTTGTGAAACGAACCAAGATAGCAATAATTTGGAAATTCTCCGGCGTGCCCTCATCCAGGCATTTTCGCTGGAAACTCACAGTTGTCAACCACTCAACAGAGCGTAGTGCGCGGTACCGTTGAACAAAGACGCCCACGCAGCAAGCATGCAGCGAGCAGCAGGCCAGATATACGTGCACTGTTGTCAACAATTACAATGGCAGCTTCAAATAGTTTGACGAAAAAGGAGAAATGAAGACAGTGTCTTGAATTGTATTTCTAGCGAATTAAGTCAGCTCGATATAAAAAATAATAATATTGGACGGCTTTTGGGGGGGGGATACAAGAATATATTGTCTTCGACTCATGCAATATTGTCATAGCTCATGCAATATATTCTTGTATCCACCTCAAAGCCATCCAATATTATATAAATATTCTGTATGATTATTTGTTTTGGTTTGCTGTGTAACTGCTGACTGACCTGTTTTCCGTAGAGAAGCTTCAAATCCCTTGGTAGCCGTGATGACAGCTTTGTATTCATTGAGCTAAAATGGTGAATATGATAAAATAAACAAATTAACAAATGTTATCATACACTATTTCTGTAAATACATTTTCAAACATGAATATTCACTACACAGCATTAAATGTGCAGACTTCTTTCTTTTTTTATTCATATACACCACAAAATCACAAGTGAATTTTATTGTTTCTACCAAATTGGCACAATTCCATTACTGAAAACCTCCCGGTTCGATTTTCAGTGTTTTAATTTCTAGAATAATTTTTTTCCCCTCAAATATTCCATTTAAGATTTTCAAATAATATTCCAATAAAATAAACTTTAAAGGGGCGCTAGGTCCTGAAATCCCCAAAAATTTCAGGTTTTGGATTGTTTACTTATCCTACAATAAACTCCAGCTAAGACGGCACTCACGGGACCAGAGAATTTGTGACGACTTACGTGAATGTCGGCTTCTGCTGCAAGTCATCATTTTGCCGACTTACACAAATACACAAATTAAATCACAAATACACAAATTAAATAGATCGCGAGGGGAGCTCTCGGAATTGAACGGGAAATTTCACTTTTCATCCGAATCGTAAGCAAACTTCAGCACCTTGATTTTAATCATCGATCTCTCCTTGTACCTCAGGTGGCGTATCTAGTAATTTGAAGGCTGTTTTGAGGTAAATCTGATGTTTTTATTTGCCAAAGTTGTGTTTTTTGGGGGGTCAACGGCAGTCGGCAGAATAGTGTCGCGCGACTTTTCTCATGGTTTCTCGAGAATCGCCACCAAAATCATTGAAAAATTTCATATTTTAGTCTTCATTGTCCTGTTTGAAGTCGATTACTAGCTTCGTGAATGTCTGTTGCATTGTATGAGGTATGAATTATGGAATCTGGGTCAGGATAATATAGGGAAAATGGACCGTTTTTGAAATGCACTGGGGATACAGAGTCCGGGATTTCGGGACTCTTACGACCCGGTACTTTTAACGTAGTTGTGACTCCAGGGGGGTCAGACAAGTGGACCGTTGAGACAACTCGACTCGGGACAAGTCGACCGTTTAGACAACTCGACCATTGAGACAACTCGACCGTATGTATGATAAATGGAAAGACAAATCTACCGTTGAGACAAGTTGACCGTTGAGTCAAGTCGACTCACTTGTTTTGGGGCCTAGTTTTGGGGATAGTACTGGGGATTTTGACGGCGGCTGATCGCCGATTGGGAGTTATGACACATGAGTTTTTTTGTTGCATCTCAAAAAAACCCAGAGCCGATATAGCGCAGCGTGATTGACTGTGTACATCGTCCATTTTTCCGGGCCACGCGCATCCCCGGTCAACATGGCCGTACCGTGCATGGTGACATCGTTTTTGCCGGGCCTGTGCGCACACTCATCCCTGGTCAATGTGGCCGCGCCGTGCACGGTGGCATTGTTTTTGCCGGGCCTGTAAGCCCACTTGCCGCGCTGGTCAATGTGCCCGCGTGCCGGGCCGGGCCCGGTCCTCGCATGCGGGGCGCGCCGGCCCAACACGACGGCCACCGGATCGGAGCGCGCCTCTGTGCATCGAGTATGCCCGTGCTGTGCCCGGGTTCTGCCACAGATTGCAACTTTTTCCGCTCCACGTGTATACATTTTCATTGAGTCGAGCTGTCTCAAGGGTCGAGTTGTCCCGAGTTGAGTTGTCAAACCGGGCGACTTGTCTCAAGGGTCGAGTTGTCTCAACGGTCGACTTGTCCCGAGTCGAGTTGTCTCAACAGTCGACTTGCCCGACATTCGACTCCAGCTCTAATGCGATAGGCATTAGAGCTGAAGTTACTCAGGCTAAGTTACATCATGGGACTATGTCATTGCCAATTACCCCTAGAACTTAGCTGGAGTAACTCCAGCTGACATGCTCATAATATTCATTCACATGTATCGCTGGAGTGTGGTAGCAAGAGACCCTAAAAAGATGGCCTCTCAAAAATTGTTCATTTTCACCTCTAATATCCCACCTCGGATTTCATTTACATACCTCGTAGATTCAGCAGTCAATCACAGAGCCTAATGATCGACTTGAAACAGACCACACAAAAAAACTGTCTGGTGAGGTCAGGAAGATCACTGGTGGAGCTGTTGAGCTGGGAACTGATGTCTCCCTGAATACCAACAAAAAATAAAGATACCAAATTGACTTCTTTTGACAATAAAAAGTAACATCTTAACCAGTTTGCATCAGAGGATGTGATAAGACGCACTGGCTGTTTTTATGCACAGGCAGGGCTGATGGATTTTCTAGGGTTAAAAGGTCAAAATTGCCTCCACTCACCTCCGGGTAACATTCTGCTTTTGCACACACACAAAAGTCTGTGAAGTCATACAGGCCAGACTGTGTGTTGATCTTGAATTGGCCGTTGTGCATGGCCAATTGTTTGACAATTTACGTTCCAGTGCACACCTCAAAGTATTGAACCATATGAGGTTTCGGCACAAAGTGGGACGCTTGGGTAAAAAGAACCCCTATGCCAAATATCAGGCCAAAATATTTCCATGAAAAAAATGCATCATTTTACCAACTTGCTGTGCTCACATTTGTATGGCCCTTAGCACAGAGATTACTCCAGTGTGTGGCCATAGAATAAGCTAGGTTTTTACCAACGGTGCAATAAGTGATAACCACAGACACCAATGCCTATCTCATCAGACAGCCCCACATACCTAGTCTAGGGGCTAGACGTTATTATGGTTTGATACGAGATAACCCCCGCAGCGATAACCCCCGCAAGAGGGAGCTCTCACTCATGACCAACCAATATCACCCACCATCAAAACTTTTTACATGCAGTTTACCATTACTTTTATATAGACATGAGGCTAGGATATTTCCAGGTTTTAGTGAAATTCATCCAATTGCCTTTAAATTCTGTTATACAAAATTACATAAAGACCCTGAGAAATCTTCACCATGGATAACATCGTGAACTCTTAATAGAGCACAAACTGTATTATCATTATCGAGAGTTGAATGCTTAGAAAGCAAACTCACCACAAATCCAAAATGTCTTGGGAGGTTTTGGATCCCAATCTTGAAGATCTCTGAGGTGAAGTGCTGTTGCATCAGATAGTGATAAGGATCCGTTATGGCAGCGCCAGTCACTGGTACGTCAGAGGTGCTGGTGGAATGGTTATCTTGTGGGTCAAGACCTGATGGACAAAAACAAACAAATTAAAAAACCAACTCCAATCAGAGAAAATAAATTTACTTTGATTTTTTTTAAGCATGAGATATTTGTAAGTTTAATTATGAGTTTTCAAGTGAGACACTGCACAACAAAATCAGTTCACACTGACAAACAGATCAATGAATTGCAAATTTTGAATAAGAAACATCCCAAAGTTGAATACTGTTAATATAGATGTACAACAATTGTACACAGTTAGAGATAAACCTATATATAAATATCTTAATTTGGACGGTTCCCAAAAATGACCAATTTCTACAAGCTGCTGTTTTTGTGTGCGTAATTCAAAACTGCCAAGCACAAATAATGCTATGTACTATCACCATTCTGGTATTTGAACTAGTATGCTTTTCTGATACTTGATACTTTATTGATGCCTCATAATATTTTGATATTTTTATTTGCCTTTTTAAATGGGCTTTGTATTAATCAACAAAAGAATGAATCAAATTAGGTTTCGCCCTGCACCAACGTATAAACACTGTATACTCAGTGTGGTACCTCCCGAGTGAAAGTTGGAAAAAAATCACTCGGGTGGGACTCAAACCCACAACCTCCTGCTTTCTAGTGCAGACATCTTACCACTCGACCACCGAGCTGGTTGGTTCAAATCTGATGTACATAGCAGCGGGTACTGCATTAACTATTCATAAGATGGATAGTCGGTGAAGGGCAAAACCCAATTTGATTTACATCACCCCGACGCAAAATTCCATCTTAAGCCGTGTCCGCACTGGACTTTTTTTTGGAAGGTTTTACCGAGATGATGGTAAAATGAGAAATGGTCAAATGTGACCACTGTCCGCACTTGGACTTTCGACACGGGAAATTTTACCCAGACCGCGTGGGAGAAGTGACCGAGCTGTCACAGTCACGTGCACAGGAAATAAAATGCCGATCACATTTTTTTCAGCCCCCGATACGCACAGTATAATATTACACACACCATTAACCCTAACTCCTGGGGCTCTTTTACTAGAAAGTATCCTGAATCCGCCGAAATCCACCAATTTTGTCACGCAAAAAATGCTGGTATCCTGAGTCCATCAGAATCCCCCAGTAAAGATACTGGAGGTATCCTGAATCCGCCAAAGTCCACCAGCAAAACTCGCGCTGGATTCTGGCGGATTCAGGATACCATGGTGGCATAAAAAAAATACAGCATGTTTTTTGCATAGAGTCTTCAAAATCCATCACCTAAATTTCTGGTGGATTTTGACGGATTCAGGATACTATGATCGCATGAAAACTGTGATGTGTGTTGTTGCATGGGATCCATCAAAATACACCAATGCATGGTTCAACTGCTGGTGGATATGATGTGGGTTGTTTTTCCATCCAACTTGGGCTGTGGGGGTAATTGTGTATACTATGATGCTAAGACAAGATAAGTTTGCGGTAGCACCATGTGAATAAATCTCTCTTTTTTTAGTATGTGTGGTTCTGAATATGTGTGGTTCTGAATATGTGTGGTTCTGAATATGTGTGGTTCTGAAAAATATGTGTGGTTCTGAAAAGAACTGGAATTATTCACATGGTGCTACCGCAAACTTATCTTGTCTTAGTATCTTTCCACCATGCAAACCTTCAAATCCTATACTATGATGTTTGCATTGTCTGGAAGGGCTATTTCAATGAGCCATTGTCCGACCCCAGCATTGCTTTGTCTGGATGGGTTATGTACATAATCCATTGTTTATATGCTGAGGCCTAATAAGCCGCAGTCACAAGCTCCCAACCGCCCGGTACATACATTTTTGTACAGCATGTGACAGACCTGGCAGGGCTACAAGCAGTATTTACTTGACCACAAACATAGCCAAAGAGTTATTCTGTGGAGATCCTGAATCCACCAAAGTCCCCCAACAGCTCAATATGGAGGTATCCTGAATCCATCAAAATCCTGCAGCTCCCCTAGGCTTACAATCCTGAATCCATCAAAATCCCCCAGTTTGTGCAATATGGAGGTATCCTGAATCCGCCGAAATCCCCCGAAACAGGGGGGTGGATTTTGATGGAATCAGGTACGTTAGGGTTAAAATGCACAATATAATCGTAACATACGATGTTATTTCATCTTGACACGATAAATCTTGACCAAAATGCCTACTATTCTGACGCATTTGTGATGGACGACATCGAAGCCATGCGGCAGCAGTTCCATCGGTAATCGCTGGTTCCCACCGCATGCTAACAGAATCAAAGCTATGATGTAGGACCGGAACCAGGGACTGCGGCCTACGTACAGTGCCATGCAGACTACACGGCGTAACAGGACGAATTTGGATCGTAGAAAATACAAAACAAACATTGGTGGAGAAAAAGAAGGACTGCAAAGTATTTCCCAGAACGTGATCTTGATATTTTCTGTGAATGTATTCTCCGTTAAAATATATTTATAACGAGATTTTACCGCTCGGACTTGACACACCTCAGCGTACCGGTACGTGTTTCCACAAATTGTTCGGCCACATCACGTGTGGGATCATGCGGTCTCTGTATGCATGATACTCGTGCTCGGGCCGGATCTCACTTTCCTGAGCCGCTTTTACCGACTCGCACTGTCCGCACTGGACTTATCGTCTCGGGAAAAGTGACCTGGTCAATTTTCCTGGGCGCGTGGTCAGTTTTCCTGGGCAGCAATTGGCCAGTAAAAGTAACCGTTGGACTCAGGAAAGGAAATGAGAGGAAAACGTCCTAGGCTGTCCGCACTGGACTTAAAATGGGAAAAGTACCCATAGTCTCGGTAAGTTTGACCAAAAAAAGTCCAGTGCGGACAAGGCTTTATAAAAGAATGAATGTTTTAAGATATGAATGGCTTTGTAAACTTTGCATTCATTCATCAGAAATTCACAAGTTTGACAGTTGAACGAAGGTTCAAGGACAGAGGAAACGACAGACGTGGCGGAGGTGTCTTTATCTTGGTTAAGGATGGTTTCTCAGCCATTGAACTTTCTGAAGATGGTTGTGAATTACTCTGGTGCTAACTACCGCTCAAGCTGCAAGGAGAGGATATCTTCATCTCTGCATATTACAGAGCCCCCGACTCCTACAGGCCAGAATCTCTAGAAAACCTAGACAGAAGTCTGAGTAAATTGCAGGCTCAGGTAAACTCCCCATTCATCATTCTTGGAGGAGACTTCAACATCCCGGGCATGCTTTGGAACTCAAGGACTGGTACATGTATGGTATTCAATCCAAAATTATCAACATCGCAGATGACTACAATCGCCAACAAAAGGCAAATTTTACTACAAGGAGAGACCCAGTTACAGGAACAGATAACATCTTAGATTTGCTCTTCACCACATGTCCAACTCTGGTTTGTAATGTTTACAGCAACTCCGGGATTAGCGATCACGCAACAGTGTTAGCTGACATAAACATCACCGCACCTCGCTCTGTCAAGCCCCCTAGGACCATCTTCAAGTGGAATGACGTGGATGAATCCAAGCTGAAAAAATCTGTCCTCGAGCTTAAGACTGAATTCATGCAGTCATCTCCAGAAACCAGAACAGTTGAGGCAAATTGGAGTATTTTTAGGGACAGGCTGAAAACTAACGAATTAGTACCACAAAAACCAGTCCAGGGACATTCTAGACCCTCATGGCTCACTACTGTCCTAATCCGTTGCTGCAGGAAGAAAGAGCGCAGCTATGTGAAGGCAGTAACAAGCGGTCTACATTCAAACTTTTGCAAAAGCAAGTGAACAGCGAAATCCGAAGGGCTAAACGCACACATTTACAAGAAACTACATCTACAGGTAACCCCCAGAAATGTTGGCGCTACGTAAACAGCACTCATAAAGACAACACAGGGGTTCAGGTTCTAAAACTCAACGGGAAAAATATCACATCTGACCAAGAAAAAGCTGAAACCCTACAAGACCAATTCTGTAGTGTTTTCAGCAGGGATGACACCGATGTGCAGCCAGTTCTACCACCGAGTCCCTACTCAGACTTGACAAAACATCACCGTGTCTGTTAGCGGAGTCCTCAAGTTACTGACGTCGCTCAACTTGAAACTAGCTGCCAATGAAGTTGCCCCAGTACTCGCATTCATATTCCAACAATCACTTGACCTGGGTTCTCTACCATCTGACTGGAAGAAAGCCAACGAAACACCCATTTTTAAGAAAGGCTCTCGTGCAGACCCGGCAAACTACAGACCTGTGTCGTTGACCTCTGTTTGCTTTAAGTTATTAGAGCACATCATTGATAGCCAATAAAAGATACACCTCCAGGAACACGACATCCTGAACGAAAACCAACATGCTTTTCGTAAAGGCATGTCCTGCAAATCCCAACTCGTAACAAATCACCACAGACATGGCAGTACTTGACTTCTCCAAAGCATTCGACATAGTTTCTCATCAGAAACCGGTCCAAACATTAGACTACTACGGGATAAGGGAAAAAACACAGAGATGGATCAGGGAATTCTTAACCAACAGGTCACAAAGAGTTGTGGTAAATGGAAAATCTTTGAAATGGCAAAGTGTCGACAGTGGCGTACCACAAGGCACCGTGCTTGGCCTCCATCGGTTTTTACTTTTCATCGTTGACATTAGCAAATCAGTGACTGGCACAACTCGCCTTTTCGCTGACAACTGCTTGTTATATCAGAAGATCTGCTCATCAACTGATGAACTGATGTTCCAAAAAGACCTGGACAACTTGGCTCACTGGGCGCAAACCTGGGGAATGAAATTTAACTCCAGCAAAGTAACATCATGTGAATCTCCGGGAAGCGGGCCCCCGGCAAAACTAACTACACCATGTTAGGATCCAACCTTGTAGAGAAAACCAACATCACATATTTGGGAATAATCATTCAGAATAACCTAAGTTGGAATCACCAAACAGCACATGCCACTTCCAAAGCAAGTCGTATATTGAACTTCATCAAAATAAATTTTCATTCTGCATCCAGATCAGTCAAAGAAAAGCTGTACTTAGCAGTAGTCAGACCACACCTAGAATATGGCAGCATTGCTTGGAACCCTCACATAGCTAAGAACATAACATCCCTGGAAAAAGTGCAACTGATGAGGGCTGCTCGTTTCGTAATGCGAGATTATTCCAGACTGAGCAGTGTGACCGACATGTTGACAACCCTAGGCTGGTCTTCACTGGAAGAGAGAAGGAAAGTTAACCAACTTACCTACTTACCTACTAAAATAATACACAACATAGTTCACATTAACTCATCATCCATAGTCCCCAAACCAGCACCGGCTCGTAGAATTCACAACCACCAGTTCACAGAAATTGCAGCAAGGACAGACATCTATATGCAGTCATTCCTACCCCGAACTATCCGGAAATGGAACAAGCTCCCTCAAGACACCACAGACGCCCTAAACCACAACACCTTTAAGGATTTAATTTAGTTCCACTTCCCCAAGGCCTCCTTGCTAGACTTCCACGTGGAGTATTCAGGATAACCACCAAGTACCAAGTACCAAGTAAAGGTGCAATGTTTTTATGAAATTGAACCCTCATTCCCCCAATTTAAAACAAGTCAGGTGTGTTTACAAACACAAATGCCCCGCAACCGTGACTGTTTCCATGACATAACACCACTCTAACATCAACTTACATGTACCTTGGTCAAATGGAACGTTCATTGACAGCATTAGTGTCTTCTGTAGGTTTTATATGAATTAATCCCTAATTCCTATGATCTCAGAATAAATACAAGATTTCTATTGTTTTAGCCACTGTGACCTTGACCCTTGACCTTTCGACCCCCAATGCGATAGGCTTCTTAGGATTGCCAAGGACAATCCACAAACCAAATTTGAAGTTCATATGTAAAGTATATCTCAAGTTATCACGCTGACAAAATTTCTATTGTTTCAGCCACTGTGACCTTGACCCTTGACCTTTTGGCCCCAAATGCAAAAGGCTTCTTAGAATTGCCAAGGACAATCCACAAACCAAATTTGAAGTTCATATGTAAAGTATTTCTCAAGTTATCGCGCTGACAAAATTTCTATTGTTTCAGCCACTGTGACCTTGACCCTTGACCTTTCGGCCCCAAATGCAAAAGGCTTCTTAGGATTACCAAGGACAATCCACAAACCAAATTTGAAGTTCATATGTTAAGTATTTCTCAAGTTATTGTGCTGACAAAATTTCTATTGTTTCAGCCACTGTGACCTTGACCCTTGACCTTTCGGCTTCAAATGCAAAAGGCTTCTTAGGATTACCAAGGACAATCCACAAACCAAATTTGAAGTTCATATGTTAAGTATTTCTCAAGTTATCGCGCTGACAAGATTTGTCCGGACACACACACCCACACACCCACCCACCCACCCACACACCCACAGAAGGACAAGGCGGAAACAGTATGCCCCTTCGGCTGCGCCGCGGGGCATAAAAATTACCTGGAAAGCAACAAAACTATTTTGCAGCAAAATTAATTTCACTGGGTTAAAGTATTAAGTTTCCAATAAGCAAGAATGGACAAAATAACATGAATGAGATTACACTTAGCTGACCTGGCAAAGGAGCAAACGTCTTCACCAAGTAAAAGAATAACAAGTCACCTTTGGATTTGTCCTCATCTTCATTGGGAATAGCATCCATAGTGATGGCCACATCTGTTGGCATCTTGACAACATCACCCTCTGTAACTGTGGTTGACGCTACCTCCCCAGTTGGGACATCATCAGAAGTTGATCCCTGCTTCTCATCCATTTTGGTGTCATTACGTTGGACCAAAAACACACTGGAAATATAAAGAAACTGACATAAAGCAGTTGTATACTATTGCAAGCCATGACCAGTGGGATATCTAGGGGGAGGGGTCGAAATTTGAAATCACAACGTGCACCTGAAAATAGTATGGTAACCATATCGTGTACATGTCTCTATGCAGTGCGATGTATATGTGGATACCATACCAGTATGAGATGCGAGCTGTAAATGTCGCCATAACACGGCTGCGACGCGACGGTTCTATCTGAAAAGCCACCAAAATCATCATTGTTTCCCCATATTTTAGCCAGCGTAGTTCTGTTTCCAGTCGATCCTTTGCTTTGTGATGACTGCTGCATGGTATTTAGGTGAGTTTAATCTCACCTAGGTTTGGATAATCGGGAAAAAGGACAATTTCAGGCAATTTTTCATGGCCTCCGTCATTTTCTGACTGCTGGGGAAAAAATAGTTGGGGAAGAATTCCATACATATTGCATGCACATCACTAATATTTCCCTCCAGTGACCTACATGTATCAGCCATCAGAAACGGATAACATGTTTAAAAGTCAAATTTAGCAGGGAAAATATTGAAACGTTTACGAAGAAAACACTTCAAATTTTTCAGACCAGTCTTAGGGTTTGTGCACCGGGTGTCAAGTGATGTCCAGGTGTGGAACTCTTTCCAATAGTTGTTCCCCCAGCTCTAGCTTAAGAAACTCTAGTCCAAACATTTGGGACTCTCAATACTGTCTCTGAGAGTGCCAAATATTAAGGTATTGAAAACTTGCAATACAAGATGGAGATGAGAAACTCCAGCTCCAATGCTCATCACGAATTTGACATGTAGAACTTGAGGCACATTTAGTTTTTGTCCAGCAGTCCGAAAATGGCGGAGGCCGTGAAATTTGGCAAATACTAAACTTTACCTTTTCCCCTATTATCCAAACCCAGATGAAATTAAACTTACTTCACACCATGCAGCAATCATTTACGAAGCATTTGGTCGACTTGAAACAGAACTATGCTTTATACAATGTAAGTAAGAGTTGAGGCCTTGCAAGGTGGAGATACTAGATAATGAAAGGTTTGCGGAAACACCATGGGAGAATAATTTCTCAACTAAGAGAATGGTTCTGAAAAGCACCAGAGGTATCAACTCGACGTTCTGGTCAGTATGCTCCGACTCTCTTCAGGAGAGACATTTCATTATTTATGCTTTATACTAAAATATGAAAAACAGTATGATTTTGGTGGCTTTTCTACCTTGTATACTGCATTGGGGCTGCTATTGATGACACGTATACATTTTAATGTTGTTTTCAGAAGAAAAATAAGATATGGTTTAATATAGACCCGTGAACGTGGCTATATACATAATATACACTCAATATTCTGTTATTGCTGCCAAGAAGTTTAAGTGATCATTTAAAGTTACAGTCCATCATTTGCAGCTATCCAAAACGATATTTAGCGTTGAATAACTACTTGGTTGAAAGATAGTAAGGGGACTAAACTCCCTGTAAACTTATTCTTTCTGGCATGCTGTCATTGGGAAGAAATCAATGAAAGAAGGCATTTCCAACGATGCGTCTAAAGGCACATGGTTGGAAATTTTCATTAGTAGTGTCTTTTGTTAGTTGGCGAAGTGCGCGCAAGTGTTGACACGACGCACACGCGCTTGCTTTAATTTGTCAGATCAGTGCGTGACATTGCATAACTGCAATTAGCTCAGTGAGAACGTGTCTCCAACACTGAATTCAGGCCAAATTCAAAACAAGATTCAGCATCTTTTGATTTGAAATCGAGATCCTAGAATGGTGTTTAACTCGAAATGTACAGCTGAAGCTGAGCTGAAAGTTCATCACGTTAGTTGTTCAGTACCCTTCTTTAGATTTTGAGCACGTTTGTTGCTTCAAACGAACAAAGTACAGTCCATGCAAATGATGGACGAGATGACCTGTTTCCTTGCACATTGGAACAGCAATACTGGGTGATTTGGCAATAAATAGTTAATGCGGTACCCGCTGCTAAAGTTCAAATCGAACCGGCCAACAGATCCCGTTAGCTCGGTGGTCGAGTGGTAAGACATCTGCACTAGAAAGCACTGGACATCGTGGGTTCGAGTCCCACCGGAGTGATTTTTCCCAACTTTCACTCGGGAGGTAACAGACTGAGTATACAGTATTTATACGTCGGTGAAGGGCAAAACCTAATTTGATCAATTCTAAAAGTGTACATTATCTTAAAGAAACCTAAAGGTATTTTTTTTTTTGCCAGAGGTAAACTTTTGAAATCACTAAATCCGACTTTTTGCCATAGGTAAACTTTCAAAATCGCTGACTATGACTTTTTGAATTGACATCATCATCGATTCATGATGGACTGCAGACAAGCAATCGTTTCTCGGGCAGCGCAATGGTTCATCAGAAAACCGCAGGATCATCCGTAAAATCAAAAATAAAATAGCAAGAATTACACAGTTTGGCATGGAAATATATTTAGAGTGCAAAAATTCAGTTCGGTAATATTTGCAAGTAATTCTCTAATGCCGTTAAAAAATGGCAAACTGCAACAATGTCACCGTGTACGGACGGCCACATTGGCCAGTCAGCACGGCACAGGAACCGTGTCACTTTGCAATTTGCACAGTTGGCTAGGTTTACCATACGTACCGGCCCATGAACCTGGCAATGTGAATAATTTTTACGAAAAATGCGTACCGAAGTTCCAGCGTTCCTTTCAGTAGAGCTAGGAAAATATTGAAGTATTAAATGAGAAAAACACTTTCAGACCAGTCTCATAGGGTTTGTGCACAGGGTGGCAAGTGATGGCCATATATGGGAATCTTTCCTTTGATGTTAATTGGGAAAGATTCCCATACCTGGCCATCACTTGTCTGAAAATTTGTAAGTGTTTTCTCGGTAAAAATTTAAAATTTGTCACTGCTAATTTAGACTTTTTAGGACAAAATATCACTTTCAGATGGCTGATGATAGGCCTAGGTCATTTAGGGAAAAATTACGGCGATCATGAAGTGTAGGGCCCCTGTTTTGTTTTGGTCATATTGGATACTCCTAGAACTATGAGGCTCCACGTAGTGGAGCCTCATAGGTTCAGAAGCCCGCAAAATTGTTGTCAGCACAAAACACTAATTAAGTACAAAAACGTCCATCCCAACCAGGCCGTTTTCCACAGAACCGCTGCACAGTTTGTCCCTAAACTCCATACAATACCTCATGACATACTCACGTTATGTGCACCCAACAAACATCGGTGGATTCTGTCTGTTTTTCGGCAAAAATGATGAAAAATATGCCCTTTCCGCACTGAGCCAACCTAACACTTGAAACGAGCACGTGTGCAGAATGATCGCAGTCATTTTCGGTTCGATCGCTCGGAGCGCGCCGCGGGGGGTACGTACTTGCACTTGTACGCATGTGCATACTATCGTTCCGCTCCTACACCATACCCCCCGCGGCGCGCTCCGAGCGATCGAACCGAAAATGACTGCGATCATTCTGCACGCGTGCTCGTTTCAAGTGTTAGGTTGGCTCATAGCCCGACTGCGTCTGGCCGTACAGTACTATCGCAAGCTCTGTAGTACGGCCAGACGCCCGATGCTTCCACAGAGACTGAATTTTGTTGGCCGCCGATGTAGCGATTTTGCTACATCTTTCGATCGCGATTATCTTTTCATCCAGGACCCAAATTTCCAAAGTTAAGGTTCTTAGTCGTAGAGCAACTCATACCTTTTCGAAAAAACGTTGTTTGGTCTCAATATTTTCATCCATCTGGCCACAAGTCGAATTTCAGTCATCAGATTCCACAAATATCGTCCCCCATGTGATTCCCCCATGCGATTTCAAAATGGCGGCCGCGCTGTAATGTATGCAATATGCAGGCGCGCCCGCGCAAACTCATGAATATGCATAAACAGTCTGTGACGTATGACCTCGTGTTTTTGGATGTGCGTGCGGCGGGGCCGTACGTCCAAAAATACGAGGTCATACGTCACAGACTGTTTATGCATATTCATGAGTTTGCGCGGGCGCGCCTGCATATTGCATACATTACAGCGCGGCCGCCATTTTGAAATCGCATGGGGGATCGCATGGGGGACGATATTTGTGGAATCTGATGACTGAAATTCGTCTTGTGGCCAGATGGATGAAAATATTGAGACCAAACAACGTTTTTTCGAAAAGGTATGAGTTGCTCTACGACTAAGAACCTTAACTTTGGAAATTTGGGTCCTGGATGAAAAGATAATCGCGATCGAAAGATGTAGCAAAATCGCTACATCGGCGGCCAACAAAATTCAGTCTCTGTGGAAGCATCGGGCGTCTGGCCGTACTACAGAGCTTGCGATAGTACTGTACGGCCAGACGCAGTCGGGCTAGTTGGCTCAGTGCAGAAAGGGCATATTTTTCATCATTTTTGCCGAAAAACAGACAGAATCCACCGATGTTTGTTGGGTGCACATAACGTGAGTATGTCATGAGGTATTGTATGGAGTTTAGGGGCAAACTGTGCAGCGGTTCTGTGAAATACGGCCTGGTTGGGATGGACGTTTTTGTACTTAATTAGTGTTTTGTGCTGACAACAATTTTGCGGGCTTCTGAACCTATGAGGCTCCACTACGTGGAGCCTCATAGTTCTAGGAGTACATATTGGAGTCAAAAGTGGTTTTTTTTTGGTATTGCTCAAAAATCACCTTTACAATCAAAGCAGTTTTTCCTTAGTTCTAATGACACCCGTTGTGCAATTTTGAACGTTTTTTTGGGATAGAAACCACGATTTTCCTGCGCGGTTTGTGCCTTGCGATTCAGCGCGCCGTGCGTGGCTATGGATGCCACGCTATACAATAAACGCAGTACGTCTATGGCCACTTCTTGCAGTACGTTTCACTAAATACAATAATGCAGATTTCACCAATAGCTAATATAAACAACCAAATTAATGTTACCATTTATTAAATGGTTAAATAAAATTAGTAATACTGACGTACCAGTAATAAGAAAGGGGCAAAGGTAACAACAGGTACAGTTTCAGCCACTCGGAAGACAGCGCCGTACAGTCGCGTGTTTATGTTGTTGAATGCTGCCCTCATGTGTCGTTCGATGGGCATGCAAGCTCTTTCGAAACATCGGCCTCCATCGCAGTTCACAACTGCTTCAGGTTCATATATTGAACTGGCATCCGTCTTTTTTTTAACGAGACGCATACGTCTCCCGTCACGGAAGCCGAATAATACCTATTTGTCTATTCTTATTTGACAACTGACGCTTTCTGAGTAGCTGTGAGGAAATTTCATAATCTTCAAATAATTATAGCACACAAAGCCGCAGCTGGGAATGAATCGAATTTTCAAAAAACCTTTAAACCCATGTTTTCTATTTTTTCTGGAGGGCGCTGTTTACGCTGACCATGGAGATCAATGTTTTTGAGTTTTTCCCCTTGAATTCCCCCCCCCCCGCCCCAGAATTTATGTGATTATTCAAGACAAAGGAGTTATTGAAAATGGCTATCTATGTGGTAGGTACCCAAGAGATTGTGGGAAATTGTTTATATTCTTTAGTTGGACGCCTTGTCGCAAAAGTAATTTTAAGAAAGCAAAATGTGAAATTGTCCAGTTTCCGGACACTTCACAATGAATATTGAATGGCTGCTGCTACGGTATTCGGGGGTTCTCCTAGAACTATGATGCTCCGCGTGAGCGGAGCCGCATAGACACAGAACCCCACAAAATGGTTAATTGCAGCACAATCCCTCATGACCATGACATATCGTCAGTCCACCAAAAATGACCAGGATATGTTTTGACGCACTCGCATTCAATTTGCGTTGGACAACACGCGCGTGTTGCAAGCGTTATCTGCCTCAATTATAATGAGTCGAGGATACTCATGTAAGTTGCGCCTAACAAACATTGGTGGATTCTGTCGGTTTTTAGGCCAAAATGATGAAAAATATGCCCTTTCTGCACTGAGCCAACCTGACACTAGAAACGTGTACAAAGATAATGATCGATCACTGATTTTCGGTTCGCTTGGAGCATGCCGCAGGGGGTACGGTACTTGCACTTGTGCGCATGCGCGTATCATTTGCTTGCGGCGTGCTCAGAGCGAACCAAAAATCATCAATTTGATCAAATCTGCGTACACGTTTCAAGAGTCAGGTTGGCTCAGTGCGGAAAGGGCATATTTTTTCATCATGTTGGTCTAAATACCGACAGAATCCAGCGATGTTTGTTAGGTGCAACTTACGTGCATATGTCATGAGGTATTGTATGGAGTTTATGGGCAAATTGTGCAGTGGTTCTGTGGAAAATGTCTATGTTTTGAGGTAGTCCGAGTAACTTGGACCCAACTTATCGCCTTTTTTAACATTTGGACATGGTCTGGCGATAGTAAGGTCCAAGCTAATACCGCGACCTAGACAACACAGTCCCGAAAACCAACATTTTCCAACAAAAAACATCAGATTTCACCTTCAAAACGGCCTCCAAATTACTAGATATGCCACCTGAGGTACAAGTAGACATCGATAATTAAGATGGTTGTACTGAAGTGTACTTACGATCCGGAAAAAAGTGAAATTTTCCGTTCATTTCGGAGAGCTCCCCTCGCGATCTTGAACACGTTAAATTTCCGATCGTGTTTATTGTTTGAACGACGAGATTTCTTCTACATGCCCAGCGTACATTCGATGGTCCCCGTATCCCGAGTGCGATTCCGTTACCGAGCGCGCGCGATGCATCGATTATGATAATGAGTCACGTTTGTAAACACATACATGTGCATTTCGCACTGTAAAAGAGAATCGGGAACCAGCTTGAACTGGTACCCGCCATAAAAGCTGCGCTAGTTCCCGACTCCCTATTATCGTTTGAAATGCACATGTGTTTACAAACGTGATCCAGTCTACTCATTATCATAATCGATGCATTGCGCGCGCTCGGTAACGGAATCGCACTCGGGATACGGGGACCATCGAATGTACGCTGGGCATGTAAAAGAAATAACGTCGTTCAAACATAAACACGATCGGAAATTTAACGTGTTCAAGATCGCGAGGGGAGCTCTCCGAAATGAACGGAACATTTCCCTTTTTTCCGGATCGTAAGTAAACTTCAGTACAACCATCTTAATTATCGATGTCTACTTGTACCTCAGGTGGCATATCTAGTAAATTGGAGGCCATTTTGAAGGTGAAATCTGATGTTTTTTGTTGGAAAATGTTGGTTTTTGGGACTGTGTTGTCTAGGTCGCGGTATTAGCTTGGACCTTACTATCGCCAGACTATGTCCAAATGTTAAAAAAGGCGATAAGTTGGGTCCAAGTTACTCGGACTAGTTTTGATGAACGTTTTTGTACTTAATTGGTGTTTTGTAGTAGCAAACAATTTTGCGAGGTTCTCTGTCCATGAGGCTCCGCTACGCGGAGCATCATAGTTCTAGGAGTGACTGCTAGGGTAGTTCTCAGTACTCCCTACTATTCTACATCACTTCCTCGTGTTGGTTCAGCATCAGAGGTGACGGAAAGAATGTTGCAACCTGATGCTGCTTTTTCCCTCATAAATCATCTCAATGAAGGTCAGTCATTGGAAAAATGATAAAACATGAATCTGGGACTGAGAAACATTTCCAATTTTGTTAGGAAATACTGAATTTTTGTTTGACTCTCCATAGACTTTTTACACAACCACTGAAGTAGGGTCAGGTTGCAACATTCTTTCCGAGGTGACTGTTGGCTCCCCAAGAAAGCCTTCTAAAACCTCTTCCACCGCCTCAATAGAGATCCCATCTGCGAGTGGTTTCTTTGTTAAATGTTTTATGCCTGGTTTTTATGAACTACCACTTTGAAAACTGCTGTGAAGATTTGGATTTGAGTAGAAAATGAGATTTTCTACTGATTTTATTGACGTAGCCGTTTTATACATTCACATTTTTTTTTTACATCATACATGTTTACTTGACAGTTTTTCTCATGTTTTTTTTTCGCAAAGTCTGTAGGCGCATCCATCAGTGCGGATGAAAGGCGCTGAGGCAGACTGGACGCCCATACAATGCACAGACAGGGAGTGTAGCCACTCCTTGATGAAGGCTCCGCATCTGCACTGTCCATTCTGCTCCCAGGACAGTCTCTTCACTGATGAGATTCTCCTCAAGGCGCACTACAGGGTGAAGCATGTGGATAAAGGCATCAACTTTGGGGGTGAGTTTGCATTTGGGAACAAGACCAAGCGCTCGCATACTTGTGACTGGATCCCAGAAATATGTTTTAGGTTAAGCCAAAGGACAATGTTGTTCACTTTCTCTTCACAGGTCATGCTACAAGATGACTTTTAAGGTCCATATGAGTTGAAGGCAACACTTGTCTAAGTGACAAGCCTGCCGAGTGCAGCATGATCCATCAGGTCAAAAGTCTCAAAGCCAAATTGCCTCGGAGTCTGTGGTCCTCGAACGCAGCAGAATACAACTGAGGCATTGTTCAATGGGATTAGCTCTCATTGTTTCAGAACTGGCTGTTGATGCACTGGTGTTGATAGCTGAAATGCAGCAAAGTGCACCAGACTTTTCCACCTGATGCACTGTGCTGCATGTGGCAGGGTTAGGGTTAATTAAGATAAGTTGAAGGTAGTGGACAGCAGGACAAGGTAGTGGCATTTGTGGTAGTTTAATGAAATTGACAGATACCTGGGCTGGTTATTCTTAGCAGATATCAGTGTTCAATAAACTCAATTGTCACAGGCCATGCCCAAGCGCCAGCTGTGTCTCGGGACGCAGGTGCGGTCGTAGTTGCCGGTGACGTAGTGCTGAAGTGCAGGTTAAAACAGAACAACTTGAAGCTAGTAAGTAACATCCCTCAATGCTGATTTGAACGCATCGAGGGACGGTAGACTGGCTGGGTCCAACGTCAGGGAGTTCCAGTCTCTGCAAGTTTGTGGGAAGAATGATGAGGAATAGACCAGTGTTGTGCAATGGGGCACGAAGAACCGTGAACTGTGACCTCTAGTACTAGATGTGTTCCAGTGTATGTCTACCAAGTTGAAGCGGATCCTATAAAGCATCCCTAGACGGCACTGGAGAGGCCTGGCCTTGAGTGGACTCTAGTGCAAGTCGTTAAGCATTGATGTTACGCTGCAGGTGTGGTCGTAGTTGCCGGTGATGTAGCGGGCGCTGCTGTGCTGAACTTGCTCCTGTTTTTTGATATTTTTCTCAGTGTGGGGATCCCAGGCTGGAGCGGCGTACTCAATGATGGGGCCAACATATGTCATGTAGCTAGCCTGTCTCGGATACAGTATGTATCGGGTACAGTATGTCATGGTCAATTTTACAATCATGTACATGTACTTCATTCTATTCCAGTGGGCACATCAGACTGCATGTTTAATACCTGCAAACTACAATTAAACTGTGTCAACAGTGATAAGCTGTTAAACATTGGCACAGGTTGGTGAAACTACCATAGTTCACTCAGAAACTGTTTCAAATTTCTGATGCTTGAATTCCAAAACTCATTAGACTTATTTATAGCTTACACCCAAACAGAACTTGACCCGTGAAACCCCAACACCATGTTTTGTTGGATTCTGTCGGGATGGGTACAGTACCCCTAAACTAAGTCAGAAGTATGTGTGTGTGTGCAGTTTCCCATATGGTGTTAGAATTTGCCAGGATGGGTATGGTTCCTAGTAAATCATGCTAGAGATTTAGGGTCAGAAGACTCCCTGAAATAAATTTCACAATCAAACATTTGACTCAAGTATCCATTCTTTTGAGAATGATTAGACACACCTTTTTGGTTTAAGTGTTTGAAAGCGCACTTATTTTTAACCTTCACAGTTTCAGTGCTGCTTCAAGACAACTGAGTATGCCGTTGCTGTGATGTAATGGTCCCCTTGTACAATCTGCATGAAAAAAAACCCATGGAATAAATTTAATCAGTTGAAATTTATGTACCTTGTGAGCAGGTGTGGTAGTTCTACAAGGATTTGGGTGGATTATGTCAAATGCCAACACTTCGTGCCTTTTAAAATAATTAATTGTGAACCTAATTTTATCACTGTATGTTTGTGTCGTAAATTGAATCTTTTGCTACCTTACAGGTTTAAGTCTCATTTTATCAACCTTAACGACTGCACTCCACCATTTTTACCCAGGATGTCAACCAGATCTTCACCACATACACTGACCCAGCACCCAACAGTACCAGCCTGGTAACACACCTCATAGTCCCCCAGTCACAGCAGCCATCGGAGACAGACACATCATCCCCGGGGCTATGAGCAGACTGATGGGCAGCAGCCGCAGATCGAGTACCAGTATGCCTGCATCAATGATCCGAGTCAGAGCACTGCCAATGGGGAAGGTAAGATGGTAAGAATATTAACCCTGACCCTCCAAGAATCCTTCAGCATCTACGCAGAGGTTAAGGTGGATAATGCCACCAGCAGTGAAGGATAATTAGAAGAAGCTGACCAAAAAGCCAAGGGGGAGGCATTTGATGCAAGGAAGAACTCTTCCCCCCCCCCCCACCCCCCCCCCCCCCACTTTGTTTCAATTGATATATCGTGAATCCATATGGAAGAAGGGAATGGGTAGACAACAGCATGTTTAATACAGTTGTCTTCACTCCTGCACTTGTTTGGTCAATAAAATAAATAAAACAAACAACCAAAAGTTCAGCATTTCTTTAGGGGGTTGCGGCAGGTGAGGGCCAATATTGACAGTGGATTTTACAAATTGAAATTACAAGGTGCAAAGGGTGTGCCATTGGCGTTATTTAAGTTGATTGAATTTTGGAGGATTCAGGAAGGTTCTAAGCAACAAAAAAATCTAATAAGTCAGGGTGGCAGTACATTTTGAGAGCTGATTTCAACAATTAATTAAATATTGGCATTTGTCCTTCACCTTGCCCACCTAATGTTAGGAATACGGTTTGAAAAAGTGAGTGATTGCTTGCACCCAGTTACAAGGAATTACATGTTCTTGACACACTGCATCACTGGGGACTTTCTTGCCTGTATCCTGTTTTTACCGCTACATATCATCTGTCCCATTCAAGCGCAACATATATGTCGACCTTTCTACTCCATAAACTCCTCCCATCATTTCCCTCTTTGTGTAGCCCACACCTGGAGTGACCTTTTGATGACCGACTTTCATTATTACAGGAATCATTATCCAGGATAATTACTCAACCTTTCCCTCTCGTAAACAGTTGTCCTTATTGAGATACCAGACGAAGGAAGCAAAGAGGATTTGGAGGACGAGACTTGCTACACAGAGCACAACTTGTCGCTGCTGCTGCAGGAGAAGGAACGTCTGGAGAAGACTCTTGAGGAGGAGCGGACCACGTGGGCCCAGACTAGAGCACAGGATGAAAGGCACTATAGAAAGGCTTCGTACAAAGGTGAGTGGGCATTCCATCTGGTCTTGGTCTAAGAATGAGTTTGGATCTTGTTCCCTGCATGCAACAGGTATCAAAGGCGTCAATCGCTTCTCAAAAGTGGGAGGGGGACATACCTTGATCAGAACTAATGCAGGCACACTAATGCGACTGCGTTCTTTCAGTGGTCAGATTTCTGTCAGGATGCCAGCTGTCATGGCTGTGGACGATCATGGTGTGCACTGTTGTTGTCATTGCTCTACATTTTCTACACGTTCTACGTTGCTCTATGCGCTGACGCTGCTTATGATAAATGCAGACAAACCGTTCCACACATTTTGTACACAAGCTCAGATGTGTTGTTTATCCTTGTGTAGAGGATTCATGGTTTCACTCATACTCTAGTTGCACTAAATAACTGGGTAACAACACATGTGCCTTCTTAAGCATTCATGCTCCAACTGCACACATCATAAAGTGCATAAATGTCGGATTTTGGTGTGCGCTGTCATGGTTGTGATTGGTTACACATCATGGGTCAGAGCCTAATGGATTGGTCTATTAAAATTCCATCTGTAAACAAATAATTTCTCTGCCCATCCTTCTTGCCCTCCAGGTCCAACACAAACATGTCACTCAAGCAGCAGCTGTCCATGATTCACACGTCCAGTTTGAAACGTCTGACCAACGACAGCGAGAACCAGTCCATTTTGCAAGAGTTACTGCAACACATGTCTGAGGAGCACACCCAGCTGCTGCACCACCATCTAGCACAGCTACGGCTGTACGCTCAGGCCTGCGCATTATCCAAATCAGCCCCCGAGGAATCTGCAGCTGAATCTACAGTCTTGGTACCAGACCTGGCTGACCAATCACAGGACATCTCACACATGGCCATGATGTCGTCCTCTGAGGACAGTCTTGGGAACATGGAGCAGACAGTCGTCATGTCGATAACGTCGGAGGAGGATTCAGAGCCGCTTGGCAACATCGTGGATAACCCTGGAGATACCATGAGACACGATGTCTTGCCTTTAGATAAGGACATTCAGTTGTCACCAAATGACATTCTATACCAGCTGACAAGCGAGGGACTGTCACCAAGACATGACACCTGTGAGTCGGGTCACGTTTATCAATCAGGTAGAACTCATTCACATCACAACACAGGCTGTGATGTCACGCAACAGGATTTTCACAAGAACAAAAGTTTGAAATTGGTTCTTTCCAACAGCACGCCAAAAATATTCTGCCCCGACGGCTTCGACAAAAAAACGTTTGATGACAACATGTCAAATGAGGGACCACCATTAAAATGTGGGAGAACTAACAGCCTGAAAGCCATTTAACTAATCAAATCTGACTTATTTTGTAAATAGTGTACACTCAGTGTTGTCTTAGGGCTTAGTTGGGGGGGGGGGGGGACTTGAACTAATGAGTTGCGTCTTCATGGAAGTTTGTCTTACCTGAAGGAAAATGTTACCAAAGCAACTGGCCTTGTTCTCTCCTATCTTTTTGAGTTCTCGATGGGCAATCCTGAATCCGCTCAGTGAATGGGCGTCGTTGTAGGCCCAAACAGATCCACGTAGGTCCTCAAACACTTTAAATCTATTACTGAAACATAAACGATGCAATTATGATTAACATTGAAACATTTGGTCGTATGTATAAAAACTAGCATTTGCTTTTTTTTTTACTACGTATTTTTAAGCTTAACTTTTATTTGCATGAATAAAAATGAGAGCAAATGCTTTCACTATTTGCTTCAAGCTAAAAGTATTTGCTTTTTTACTTTTTGGCTTTTGCTAGACTAGAAGTGTGGACTGGTTTCAAACTTGAAAAAAATATAAAGTTTCAATTGACCTCAAAATTAATAAAATTTTAAAATCTAAACCTCCAACTGTGGGACTTGAACCAGCAACCTTCAGAAGTTCAGATTTAGGGTCATCAGTCCGTATTACTTGATTAAGCACAACTTCACACTATTTTGTGGTTACAAAATTAACTGTAAAGTTTCAATTGACCTAAAAAGTAGTAAAATTTTGAAATCTAAAATTCCCAGCGTAGGAAGGAACCTGCAACCTTTAGATTTAGAGTCAGCAGTCTGAACCACTGCACTAAGCATAATTTCATGCTTTTTAGTGGTTACGGAATTAACTATAAAGTTTCAATTTACCCAAAAAGAAATAAAATTTTAAAATCTAAAATTCCACCCTGGATTTGAACCCACAACCTTAAAATTTAAAGTCAGCAGTCCGTACCATTGTACTTAGCATAATTCCACACTATTTAAAGGTTACGAAATTAACTACATGTATAATATTTAATTTACCCAAAAAGTAATAAAATTTAAAATCTAAAATTTTCACCCTGGATTTGAACCCACAACCTTCAGATTTCAAGTCAGCAGTCTGTACCATTGGACTAAGCATAATTTCACACTTTTTAGTGGTTACGAAATTAATATGAAGTTTTGTTTTAATTTACCCAAAAAGACATAGAATTTTAAAATCTAAAATTTCCACCCTGGATTTGAACCCCAACCTTCAGATTTAGAGTCAGCAGTCCGTACCATTGGACTAAGCATAATTTCACACTTTTTTAGTGTTTACAAATTAACTATAAAGTTACAATTTATCCAAAAAGAAATAAAATTTTAAAATCTAAAATTTCCAACCTGGATTTGAACCCACTACCTTCAGATTTCGAGTCAGCAGTCCATACCATTGGACTAAGTATAATTTCACACTTTTAAGTGGTTTACGCAATTAACTATAAAGTTTCAATTTAACCAAAAGACAAAGAATTTTAAAATCTAAAATTCCCACCCTGGATTTGAACCCAAAACCTTCAGATTTAGAGTCAGCAGTCCATACCGTTGGACTAAGCATAATTTCACACTTATTAGTGGTTACGCAATTAACTATAAAGTTTCATTTTACCCAAAAGAAATAAGATTTTAAAACCTAAAATCCCAACCTGGATTTGAACCCACAACCTTCAGATTTAGAGTCAGCAGTCCATACCGTTGGACTAAGCATAATTTCACACTTTTTAGTGGTTACAAATTAACTACAAAGTTTCAATTTACCCAAAAAGAAATACAATTTTAAATCTAAAATTTCCACCCTGGATTTGAACCCACAACCTTCAGTTTTAGAGTCAGCAACCGTACCATTGGACTAAGCATAATTTCACACTTTTAAGTGGTTACGCAATTAACTATAAAGTTTCATTTTACCCAAAAAGACATAGAATTTTAAAATCTAAAATTTCCACCCTGGATTTGAACCCGCAACCTTCAGATTTAGAGTCAGCAGTCCGTACCGTTGGACTAAGCATAATTTCACACTTTTTTAGTGGTTAAAAATTAACTATAAAGTTACAATTTATCCAAAAAGAAATAACATTTCAAAATCTAAAATGTCCATCCTGGATTTGAACCCGCAACCTTCAGATTTAGAGTCAGCAGTCCATACCATTGGACTAAGCATAATTTCACACTTTCTTAGTGGTTACAAATTAACTATAAAGTTTCAATTTACACAAAAAGACATAGAATTTTTAAATCTAAAATTTCCACCCTGGATTTGAACCTGCAACCTTCAGATTTAGAGTCAGCAGTCCATACCGTTGGACAAAGCATAATTTCACACTTTTTAGTGGTTACAAATTAACTATCAAGTTACAATTTATCCAAAAAGCAATAACATTTTAAAATCTAAAATTTCCTCCTGGATTTGAACCCACAACCTTCAGATTTAGAGTCAGCAGTCCATACCATTGGACTAAGCATAATTTCACACTTTTTAGTGGTTACGCAATTAACTATAAAGTTTCATTTTACCCAAAAAGAAATAAAATTTTAAAATCTAAAATTCCCACCCTGGATTTGAACCCACAACCTTCAAATTTAGAGTCAGCAGTCCATACCATGGGACTAAGCATAATTTCACACTTTCTTAGTGGTTACAAATTAACTATTAAAGTTTCAATTTACCCAAAAAGACATAGAATTTTAAAATCTAAAATTTCCACCCTGGATTTGAACCCGCAACCTTCAGATTTAGAGTCAGCAGTCCGTACCGTTGGACTAAGCATAATTTCACACTTTTTTAGTGGTTACAAATTAACTATGAAGTTACAATTTATCCAAAAAGAAATAACATTTTAAAATCTAAAATTTCCACCCTGGATTTGAACCCGCAACCTTCAGATTTCGAGTCAGCAGTCCATACCATTGGACTAAGCATAATTTCACACTTTTTAGTGGTTACGCAATTAACTATAAAGTTTCATTTTACCCAAAAGAAAGAAAATTTTAAAATCTAAAATTTCCACCCTGGATTTGAACCCACAACCTTCACATTTAGAGTCAGCAGTCCGTACCGTTGGACTAACCAGAATTTCAAACTTTTTTTGTGGTTACAAATTAACTATAAAGTTTCATTTTACCCAAAAAGAAATAAAATTTTAAAATCTAAAATTTCCACCCTGGATTTGAACCCACAACCTTCAGATTTAGAGTCAGCAGTCCGTACCGTTGGACTAAGCATAATTTCACACTTTTTTAGTGGTTACAAATTAACTATTAAGTTTCAATTTACCCAAAAGAAATAAAATTTTAAAATCTAAAATTTCCACCCTGGATTTGAACCCGCAACCTTCAGATTTAGAGTCAGCAGTCCATACCGTTGCACTAAGCATAATTTCACACTTTTTAGTGGTTACAAATTAACTATAAAGTTTCAATTTACCCAAAAAGAAATAAAATTTTAAAATCTAAAATTTCCACCCTGGATTTGAACCCACAACCTTCAGATTTAGAGTCAGCAGTCCGTACCGTTGGACTAAGCATAATTTCACACTTTTTTAGTGGTTACAAATTAACTATAAAGTTACAATTTATCCAAAAAGAAATAACATTTTAAAATCTAAAATTTCCTCCCTGGATTTGAACCCACAACCTTCAGATTTAGAGTCAGCAGTCCGTACCGTTGGACTAAGCATAATTTCACACTTTTTTGGTTAAGAATTAACTATAAAGTTTCAATTTAACCAAAAAGACAAAGAATTTTAAAATCTAAAATTTCCACCCTGGATTTGAATCCACAACCTTCAGATTTAGAGTCAGCAAACCGTACCGTTGGACTAACCATAATTTCACACTTTTTTAGTGGTTACAAATTAACTATAAAGTTACAATTTATCCAAAAAGCAATAACATTTTAAAATCTCAAATTTCCTCCCAGGATTTGAACCCACAACCTTCAGATTTAGAGTCAGCAGTCCGTACTGTTGGACTAAGCATAATTTCACACTTTTTAGTGGTTACTAATTAACTATAAAGTTTCAATTTGCCCAAAAGAATAAAATTTTAAAATCTAAAATTTCCACCCTGGATTTGAACCCACAACCTTCAGATTTAGAGTCAGCAGTCCGTACCGTTCGACTTACCATAATTTCTCACTTTTTTAGTGGTTACAAATTAACTATAAAGTTACAATTTATCCAAAAAGCAATAACATATTAAAATCTAAAATTTCCTCCCTGGATTTGAACCCACAACCTTCAGATTTAGAGTCAGCAGTCCGTACCGTTGGACTAAGCATAATTTCACACTTTTTTAGTGGTTACAAATTAACTATAAAGTTACAATTCATCCAAAAAGAAATAACATTTTAAAATCTAAAATTTCCACCCTGGATTTGAACCCACAACCTTCAGATTTAGAGTCAGCAGTCCATACCATTGGACTAAGCATAATTTCACACTTTTTAGTGGTTATGCAATTAACTATAAAGTTTCATTTTACCCAAAAAGAAATAAAATTTTAAAATCTAAAATTCCCACCCTGGATTTGAACCCACAACCTTCAGATTTAGAGTCAGCAGTCCATATCATTGAACTAAGCGTAATTTCACACTCTCTTAGTGGTTACAAATTAAGTATTAAGTTTCAATTTACCCAAAAAGAAATAAAATTTTAAAATCTAAAATTTCCACCCTGGATTTGAACCCACAACTTTCAGATTTAGAGTCAGCAGTCCGTACCGTTGGACTAAGCATAATTTCACACTTTTAAGTGGTTACGCAATTAACTATAAAGTTTCATTTTACCCAAAAAGACATAGAATTTTAAAATCTAAAATTTCCACCCTGGATTTGAACCCGCAACCTTCAGATTTAGAGTCAGCAGACCGTACTGTTGGACTAAGCATAATTTCACACTTTTTTAGTGGTTACAAATTAACAATAAAGTTTCAATTTACCCCAAAAGACATAGAATTTAAAAACTAAAATGTCCACCCTGGATTTGAACCCACAACCTTCAGGTTTAGAGTCAGCAGTCCGTACCGTTGGACTAAGCATAATTTCACACTTTTTTAGTGGT